AAAAAAGACTACACAAATGGGTTTCAATATTTATTTTGTTAAAGACAAGCTAGCCTGTAGTCTAACGTAACAGGTTAAGCAGACTATCCCTTTTCCTTTCATTTTGAAACCACATCTTTGCTGACAAGGAATGCTGCGAAAGAAATAGCCTAGTTCAACAAAAGGTTATGACCACAAATGAAATACATTCTACAGTGTTCAAAATTACTTAAATTGACAGGCTAATTGTGGTCAACCTTGGATGTACTTAAATACAGCAAACTTGTTCATGCATCACTTGTGCTCTAGAGAGAAAGGCACAGCTTTTCCTACAATGAGCCACCTTAAAGAGAACTTGTATAACTCAAATGAGAAGCATATTTCCATTTTTTAAACAAGCATTTAAGTCATTGATTAAATAACTCCTGAAGTGGCTCATAATGGATTGTTCGTGGCTAAAGTAAAAAAAAAGTAAAAGTATGCATATTGTTAAAGGTGCAGGAACAATTGATTTATACATCTGTGCACACCCTTTTCCAAATCAGTCCTTCCTCAGCAGTTCATGTGCAAATTAAGGATGTTCCATATATGAAAATCAGAAATTAGTCAAAAAAGACTATTTAAACACCACAGTACCCTAAAAAAGTAATTCCACTGTGTACAATCTAAAACAAATACCTAAAATTTGCTATGCTGTAGTTTAGTACATGCAAAGGTTATAGTGATTCACAATGTAACATAAAATGGACATTTTATATTCTTGTGATGTAAAGTTGAAGCACTTCATTATGGCAACAGTACTGCAAAGCAGTGATTTGCTCCATAGAAAAACTTCACTCTTATTCATGCAGGAAGCTAACTTACACAAGTAAGTTTATTTGGTTTGTAAAAGGTGATGATATGGAAAGATTCACAGCATCAAACCAACCTCTGGTGCAGAAGTACAGGGGGAGCCTTCCTGTAATTTCTAGTTTTACACAAGCATCTAAAATAAAAGCTGTAAAAATTTTAGAAATAAAAATTAAAAAAGGAAAAGGGAAAAAAAAGGTAAACACTGGATGCAAGAGTCAACCAGAAACTACTGAATATATCTTACAATGCACTGCTGCTCAACCTGCCGAATTTATGTCCAGTGTAATTTAATACTAATGCAAAATTTTGGTGTTTTTCCTTCTGGGATTTATTAATTCAGCCTTTTACAGGCACATTAAGTTTTGCATGCGTTCACATACACCACACCCATACTCCGCCCATACTCTCGTACACACGCCGCGCTCCTGGACTTTGGAGTCTGCTTCACAAACGAAGAGCCCTGCATTAGAGATGAACCTGGCTCCACACCACTGAGTCCAGACATTCATACATGGGTTCATTCACACAGTGCTTCATAGCAAGGCCTTGGTTGTGGCGCTCTGGACTTTGACAAATGTTGACTATTTTCCAGCTTTGTCAGCAACAAGTCCACAAGCTATGATATGATGCTTTCATCAAATCTTTCAAATTACCTTGGTTCTCTGATCCCCCTTTGTTGAAGACCTCTAATAACTTGCAGTTACTCGAAACATCTTCAAAGCATTCAGTGTAGATTTTGCAACATTTAGCCACTCATTCTCACTCGCACCCACTCGCCATCACAACTTCATTTGGGCTTTCCCTGGATGCCAAACGAAATCCACACATTTCTCTCGGATTAAATGCAGCAGTGGATCCCATGAGCCGAGCACAATGGATCAAATTTCGTTTTACAGTGCTGCATCATGACGTTAACTCCAGATTGGGAAGCTTTTTAGAACTGGAACCCTTCTGTTGGCACGTTAGCTGATGAATTGAAACCATAAGTTCCACCCTGGATTGCTTCTGGAACCAGGCTAGAATCTTCATCAATCTGAAAACAATTAAAAGCATTAAGATGAGCAGTTACTACTTGGGGAAATAAAATGATAAAGACACTGCTGCTTAAGTTATCATTTATTTCTTCATTTTAACATATTTTTAATCTTGTTAATATGCAAAAGCATTTGTGGATTTTAATGCCTTTAGATAAAATTAAGACTATATGCTAAGGAAGACAGAGTTAGTACTTACATCATCCGATGAGAAGAACTGATCAATAATTTCATAGGCCAATTTATAGATATCCTCATTTTCATGATTCTGTAACTGTTCAATCTTTTCCAAACCTATAAAATAATTTAGAATTAGTCAGTGTGGAATAGCAAACATTCCACAGGGAAACCTTTAGCAATTCTTAAGTTACCTAGCTACTTTTTGTTTTGTTGGATTGAAATGCAAAATGTACACAGGATTTTACAGCATTCAGTGATTTCAAGAGTGGAGACTTAAAACTGACAAATATCCAAGAATGTCTTAGAAATGCATTCATCCCCTTCAAAGTCTGGCTGCCCTCTGAGCTTGCAATCATGTTAACCAATAGATTAAAAATGCTAATAGTATGGAAATACAAGTCAATTATTCAACCCCTTTGGTAGAGAAGTCCTACAGATTAGTTGGAAAAATCATTTAGTGTAGCAGCTTGTAAATAACTGGTTGACTTAAGAGTAAAAGCATCTGTCTCTAAGCTTCTTCTGTTAAGATACTGAATTTCAAGCCCCAACCTATATAGCGATATGACCAACCACAAAGACAAAGCAGCTTTGGAAACAAGTTGAGAAGCACAGATCAGGAGAGGGTCACAAGAATATTTCAAAGTCACTCATCTTTAGGAAGTCTTACATGTCACCCAGACTACCACTCAAATAAGAAAGCAGAAAATGAATTAGGGTTGCCACTGTGAAGTCAGTCATAATTTCAAAAGATTTCTGTGTTTGAGATGGCAGTCAGCGTTCATACATGAAACATTCTTAGTTGGCCTACATGGACACATGAAAATGTGTGTGTCTTAAATTAAAAATGTACAAAGCATAGGACGAAGCACGGAAATATCACAAAAACTTCAGCCATTTCTGATGCAAGAAATGGCATAAGTCAACGCTGGTAAAAAAAAGCATTACTAATCACCACGTGAAAAAACCCTGCACCAGTTTTGCTCCCATCGTACAAAAAGTGAACATCCTTGATTGGCACAAAGCTGACATGAATCAAATAGAAAATTGATGGCTGTTCATTAAATTATTTCATTTAAAAAAAACATTTAATTCTCACTGCCATTTAGAAATGTCAGAGACCTACCCCAAATGACAGCACTTACTGCTGTCTAAAGGTGCCTCAACCAGGTAGTGATTTAGGGGGCTGAATAATGCAAATGTTCTGTGCAGATCTCATGGATATTTCAACCTCCTTCATTAATGTCAGTGTCAGTTTGAGCACTTCCGTTTCAAATTAATTGAGAAAATCTGTGTAATTACTTCATCAAATATATCACAGCCAGGAGGGGAAAACTTCTGCAATGCACTGTATCACATATTCCAAGGAGTGCACTGATAAAGTACTATACTCGCCCCACAACCGAAAGTTGTACAGGAGCCATAAAAGAAAGCTTACCTCCACATTCTTCAATCAAATTAGCAATAGTGTCTGCCTCATCGTCTGCCATTTTCAAGATATTACTCAGTCCATCCAACACTACTTGAACAACTTGTGCATCTTTAACGATGAGTAGGCTGCAGAAAGGTGGAATGACTTGCTGCTGGATAAGGTATGCCACCTAGTGGAAACAAAATGAAAAAAGAACACCTTGCCTTACTATGCTTTGTGGTCTTCCACTTCCCCACATTATTGAAGATGACCAAATGTAATCATTACAACTTGAAATCCAAACTGACTATTCAGTTGGTTTACTTAAACATTTTATGATGTTACATATTTGAAGTAATTGACAACTCCAATATCTAATGTCTGACAAACAAACAAGATCCCATCCATACTAGTATTTTGACACAGGATGCAATCTAAGTTCCTGCTAGTGTGAAAACACCTACACAGGTCATGTGCAGACTGATCTCAGCTAGCAGTGACCCACTTCATGATGGGTTTGGGCTAAATGCTAGTCTTCTCGGTATTTGGGAAAATGATGCAAAGAAGTTAAAATAGATGGAAGACTAAACTTGATTAAAGTAACAAATGAACGGGTCTTAACAGTATTCATTTCAAGTTCATGAAAACACTGGTACTCCTTCAGAAATAATTCCACAATAACCCATTAAATACCTTGAAAGTCTCCGTTACATAAAGATGCTGAGGCACACAGATTAGAACTCAAACTTGTGCAATATCTACATTTTTTTCCTTCACACAGTACAGTGGTACCAAATGTGCATATGCAAGGAGAGTTCTGACTTCAGGAAAAATGTGGCTACATATTTGAAGATATTTAATATTCACGAAGATATATTGTATATATTTGACAGTCTCAGACCAGATCAAAGTGGCAATGCAACAACAGACTAAGATTTGAATTCTTAAGAATTTAAGGGTAAGATCTTACCTGATCTTTTCTTCCACTTATGGTGAGATTACTAATTGCCCAGGCAGCCTCCTTCTGAGTACCAAAATCCCCCTTAAAAACAAATTCCCAGTTCAATACAAATGTTCTCCATTTACTAAACAGAAAAAATATATAGTAAACATCCAATACTTCCTTACCTTGTCCAACAGATGTATGATCATTGGCACAAGATTGGCATCGATAACAGCTTGAACTTGCTGCTGATTCCCTGCAGTTATGTTTGATAAGAACCACACTGCCTCCTGCAAGATCAGAGAGCATATTCATTTGCCGATTTATTTATTTTTTTACACACAATAGGATCCTGCAATAACAGTGAAAATAAAAGGCTAGGGGAGAGATGTGTTGGATCAGATTACAGGAACACCATCACAATGTACCTGTTAGAGACTAAAGGGTGCCAAGGCTGGCAAGGTGAGCATTTTCAAGGCTCTAATCATCAGCCAGATCACAACAAGCCTTTAAAATTCAATGTGACTGGCTTCAGATGCACTCCAATGTCAGCAGAGATACTGAAATCTTCAGAGCCCCCTTTTCACCAGCCTAGATGCAACAGTCATCCACACGCACACCTGTTCCCTCCCTCCACCCACCCAATAACTATTAAGGAAACATTACCAAGTGTTTTTAACTTAAAAAGTACAATGATCGTTATATTTACCAGTATTACACCACTCAGAACATTCACACAGGCACCAATCTCTATTTCATCACCTCCAACATTCAGGTTTACGCATGTTCAACTTACAAAATATCAAAGGATCAAATTAAATGTTTACTACGTAGCAAGCAAGTAAAGCTCAAAAACACATAATAAAACTCTGCTGGCAATCCAGAGAGAGTTTAATTACACAAGGACATTTCATATGCACGACTGCATTAAGGTAAACAAAATCAACAAGTTTAAGCATGCAGGTTACCTTATTGATCTTTTCTTTTGGGTGAGTAAGGAGAGCTTGGAAGTGGGACAGAGCATCACAGTTGAGAACCACTTGCGTCTGCTCGTCTGTACCAGTCACGATATTGCCAACGGCTCTCAGTGCTGCAGTCTAAAATAAACGTTTCTCAAGTTCAAAATTCAAAAACATTTTTAATCATACAAGAGGTATTAACCAAAAATATACAGATTTTTTTTATCTGAACAGATAAAATTCGACACATGAAAAAGCAGACTGAGAATATAAGTGTTAAAACGAAATTGAGTTCTCAATGTACTATCAGTTTTGTCTGTCATCTGATTGCAGACAATATTAAGAACTAAATGCAAGCTGTAATACTCTGTGAGAATGACGGTTCACCATATGCACCAAAAATGCCTAAAAGTATAACATTTAAGAGATAAAAGAGGGTTACTCTGAAAAAGGCAAATCAATTGTTTCCTTTTCTAATAAAGGAGTTTTCACAGTTGTCAGATCTGATTTTAGATGTCAAAATGAAATTCAGCTAAGGATAACTTCAGGATGATTAAAAGGTAGTTGTGAGGAATGTAAATTAGTCAGTGAAGACTGGTCCTAAACTTCACAACAAAAAAGTATTTAATTAAAGTTTGCAATTTTTAAATTGAAGACTCATACCTGTACTTTGACTTCCTGATGGCTAAGGAGAGGCACCAAATGAGGAACTATTCCTGAATCAATAACCATCTGAATCTGCTCATTTCCAGCATCTGTTAGGTAGGACAGAGCCCAGACTGTGTCAACCAAAATCTACAAGAGAAAAAAAATTAGCTCTTTCTGGGAAAGCATATGAAAATATTGTCAGTTTCTGACCAAAGATATCTTAAGTTTAGACTAAGTGCATAAGCTTTCTTACTTACATTCACATCCGTGTGATGTATCAGGACACACAAAGCAGGAAGAATCTGCAGGCAGCAAAACAAATGAGACTGACCACCAGTAGGATTGTTAAGTTGTGTAAAACAAAGAGCACCTATAACTGAATATTTTTATGACAGCAGCTATTACTTAACTAGCGTATAGTCCAATGCTGAAATCCTATATTCCAATTATTCCAGCTATATTAAGATCTCAACAGGACAAATGATAGATTCAGATAAAGTTAAATAACAGTTTATACCAGTAACTTGTAGAGCAGGGTTTTATTAAAGCAGGTTTTTTATACCTCCTGAATGGTTTCCATTGGTGGAGGTGGATCCTTGTGACGACAGAGATTAACCATCACCCAGGTGACATTGCGAAGAAAGGTAATAGGGATAGATGGGCTGATGAAGGACAGCAGGGGTTTCACTACGCCTAGGCTGATGACGTAATCTCTGCACTGAGGTCCGTCCCCTTGAGAAAAGCCACACAAGATACATTATCCAAGGTTTAAGGCATTAAAAATAGAGAATGTTAAAAAGGTTTAATATTTCTGCATACTTTGGTCAATCGGATATTTAAATTCTGCTAGTTTGTTGAATTAAAATGTTTAAATAAAAAGTACAGAGGTACACACCAATGATATTGCCCAGGGCCCAGACCGCCTGTTCACAAACATTTTGATGTGGAGAGTGCAATAATCTTAAGAAAAGAGGAACAGCATCTATGAGAAAAACAAAGCACAAAAGATAATCTTTTTAACTTGGAACACTTATCACAAATATGTACATAATTCTCTAAAAAGCTGTCAAGACATTTCAACATCTATCAATTCTTCAGGCAAAGCAAAGGTGGCTACATTTTCCAAGGCAAGGCATTTAACAAACACAAGAAAGAATGTGAAGGATTTAGTTAGTGCAGTTCTATAAAAATAGATCATCTCTCTCCTAAAAGGTGCTTGTAGATATTTATGTACATACTTGACTGAACAACTGCTTGTGTCTGTTCTGACGTTCCAGAGGCAATGTTTGTCAAAGCCCAGGCAGCTTCAAATTGTAAGGAAGGGCTGTAAAAATAATATTGTAATACTTGTTAATAAAAGATTACAATTGAAATCACACTTAACTCTGTAGTCTAGTAAGTCCATAGCACAGTAAAATGTTTTTGCTTTTATAATTAGTGTATTGTTTCTCTTTCAAGCATGGACCTAATTGGCTGTGCAACTATACATGTATAAAAACGTATTCACTTTTAACATTTTTTTAAAATCTTACTTCAAACTGAATGATGACCACCACTAACAAATTAGTGGTGGTCCACTGAATATTACTTGAGGACCAATTAGACATTGCATCAAAGCTATTTCCTTGCATGTAATTATAAATTACATTTAGAGCCACTGAATTCTAAGCCAACCATAGAAGAACCAACCCTTTGATACAGCTAATAGTAATCCTTTTAGTTTTGGAGAAAATATTACTACTTGAAAATTCAGTTATGGTACATCATATTTAAGACTTTAAAATGCAGGTTTCTTTTTAAACATTTGGACAGAGAAAAATTTGAATCTGAAGCTTTAAGGTAGAAGACCTGTTTTATGCATGGTTTATGAAATCTAGTTAAATCCATTACCTTGACTTAAATAAATCACAGATTGAACCTTGGGAGTTTTAAATGAAAAACACAGCATGTTGCAAAAAAAAGATTGTCACTTACTTGTCATCTCTTTCCAGACAATGAACTAGTATAGGTAAAATGCCAGATTTTATTAAGTCATCAATTGGTGGGTTCCGATCACTTGACAACAGCTTCCTGCAGAAGAAACATGCAATCCTCAGTTTCATATTCTAACAGGTACAGTGATTAAAATAACCAAAGGAAACCCAGAAGCCTCCCAAAAGGCATGAATGGAAAATTAACTTTGTTTAAAGTCTTCTTCATTTATGGTATGCAAATTTATAAGATGTCCCTTAAGCGTCAGAATCAAGGAAGCAGTGGTTACAGCCATCTGGTGACAGAGCACAATACCTGCAATCGAAGTATAGTTCACAGGCAGAATGCCGCAAAACAAATTTCACAAACAAATGATTCATTCCACTGTAATTTTGTAATTAAAGACAAAAATTAGTTTTAGTCAACATTTTAGTTATAAAGCAGGGGGAGGGGTGAAAACCAAAGTTATGGGTATTGAAAATATAGAAGTCTGTCAACTCAGTACTCCACAAACTGCTTACCTTGCCGCCTGCACAGCGTTTAACTGTATGCCTTGGTTGTCACTGGAAGCATTCTGAAATAAATTCAGAAATTAAACTTGCAGTACCAATAGAGAGCCATTCACAAGCCTTGCAATGAAATGAATGATTGTAATCCACTTGTACCTTTGCAATATTTGGATGAATGTATCTAAGCAATATATGTGGAGTTTTAACTCCACTCTACCTTGAAGTATCAATACCAGTGTCTTTAATAGAGGTTTCTTCCCCCCATAATTTCCAACAGAATTAATCTTATAAACAGCAGACTTTAGAAAAATATCTTGCTTGCTAATTGCAAATGTAACAGTACTGGCTAAGCCTTCAAAGTCTTCAAAACTAGCATGAAAACACTGTCCCAGACATCAAAAGATTGTACAAAATATAAAATTAGGAAGGTATAAAAACACTTACTTGTACTATTGCTTCTAAAGACGTATTTTGCTGCAAACAAATTAGGGAAATACAAAATTTAGTCTTGGAACAAATGACCCAATGCAGAATTGAATAAAAATGAAAATATTAAATTACATGCTTAAAATAAATTAAAACTGGTACACCACAATGAGTTGGGTAGCAATTGTTTGTAATGAATGCAACCAGTTTAGCATTTTCAGTTTTTGAAAAACTATTTACTTTTACATGGAAGACACCAACAGCAATCCTTACCACTCTGTAATCGCCATCTACATCAGAGTCATCACAAATATCTTCATGAGGGACATTTCTCCTTTTCAGTAAGTGTTCATCTCTCTTATTCTATGAATCAGATGTGTCAGTAACAACAAATGACAAAAAAAGCTTGTGAGTTTTGATTGAATGAATTTCAAATGCATACAGATTTTGTGCATTTTTAGAATATAGCCTGAGCTCTTACTGAGTTCAACAGACAGTAATACCTTTCAACTTTTAAAGTTACTAAACATTACATTCACATTTTAATAAACAAATCTCCAATTCAAAAGTTACACGTCATTGCATATCCAAAACAATTAGATTACAAATGAACATTGTAAAAGTTAAGGGCTACTACGAAACTTCTGATGAATCAGAAAATCAATACCTTGCGAAGTTCCACAACCACCTCATTCCTCTGTCTTCTCATTGTCTGGATAAGGGGGAAAATACAAAAACATTTAATATTCTACTCATCTGAAAGATCTGACATTCTCAGAGGGACTACTAAGACAAATGTAGTCACTCCAACAGTTACATACAACTTTTTGGAAATGATGAAAGGAGCTTCTAGTATGCAATGAAGTATTAAAATGACCTCCCACCCTTGTACATTTTGAATACTTGTGATACCTCAGTGACACACCCAGAGAACAGTACAGGACAACATGGTTATCAAGTGTGACAACATTAAAAAACAGGTGGGTAGCTGCGTCAGCATGCGTAGGCTGCAAAGGAACAAGTAATAGGTTTATTCCATGCTGAAAAAAAGAAGAAAGAGAACACAACGTTTCGGCCGTGGAGCCTTCTTCAGGTTAAAAAACCTTCTTCATTAAAAAAAAACAGCCCACTGGAGAGAGTCCAGGATTTAACAATGGTTTACTGTGCAATGTGACAGCATTTCAGCGTAACACAGTTAGCCAATTTCATACCATATGCAGTGAGTAATGTAGCAGGAAGGGGCAGTTCACTCAGGGCTTAAGCTTAGAAATCCCTCACACGCCTCTGGAATTTAATCCACAAGGCACAGGACAGCACTGAGCACACAAAAGCACAGTAACATTCAAGACATTTCTAAAACCTTCAGTATGACTTCACAACTGGCCAGCACTGATACTGATTTTATTACTTTGAGTTCGGCTCCATGACTGTGGATCCCTATGATGTTAACAGTAACGCACTGGATTCAGGTTTATGTTTTACAGAAAAGGGGTGGGGCACTTTATTTCACTATCCCAAGACTAGAATTAATAGGAAAGAAGAAAAATGATGTGCTTGAAAGCATGAAATATCTTCAGAAATCCTAATGGTGATTAATGTAGGGTGGGACACTCAGACATTTTAAATCAAGTATAAAGACCTGCAACAGCATGTCAAATTTTAAATAAATGGTAGAACAACCTAAATGAATACAAATACAGATGCTTAGATGGCTCATGTTTTAGAGTATGGTCCTCAATCATTTTAATTGCTTTATAAAATAAAAAAACAAAAGGTGCAGCACAGCTATATTCATTTCTTTTTTATGAAAAGGGTGGCTGAGTGGCAATTAAGGAAAGTGAAATGATGAACTTCACAGAATCTTAAATGGTCCTATATATGTAGAAATACAGTCCGCTCAGACTATTGGACGTTTTGGCCAAAACTGACAAAGGTCTGAACATTATATTCATGCCTCCGTACAGATCTGTGTATGTTCCTTTGCATTATTAAGTACAGAAGACCAAAATTTAAAAGTCCAAATGTTGGAGTCTGATCCAGAAGTAAAGCCTGATGCGTCAACAAGGAAACTGCTTTACCAGATGAAAAAAAAGAAAGACTTCGTCTCTTTTCTCACGTTAGGACGTGTTGGGCCGCTTAGTATTATGTAACATCTACCAGATAGTTCACGTTCTCAAGAGATTTCCTTTAAGTTTTGGAAAAAGAAGCACATGACTTCCAATTTTCAATGCTATATAATATCGACTTTAGAAAAGGAAACAAAAATAAGAACGTTACCCAGAACGTAATATTTCTTAACTTGGGTGGTAACGAAGGACTGCAGACTAGAACGCCGTGGAATTATTTTTTTAAGAGATCTAGAAACAGCCGTTTGTGAAGTTTTGTGGGTTAGATCAATCGTTGTTCGTGTTTCGCCACATCCAAACAACTCCAACCACGCGGAGAGAAGGAAGGGGAAAAAAATCAACTCCACAAAAGACGCACCAAGTAACACTTTCGCTTTAGCAGAGAAGCTCCCTACAGCCCCGGAATAAGCTTCGGGGGTAGAGCAGCACACCACCATACCCAGCTTCTTCCAGTCATAAAAAAAACAAAGGCGTTTGCGGAGCCCAGTAAGCGAGCCCCGGCCTGGCCTGCCTCCCAGCCCCTGAATCCCTGCCCCGAAGTTTTGCGTGCTGGGCAGGGAGCGATCTGCCCAGCGCTGGGGCTGAATTAGGCCTCGGTCGAAGCCGCAGGGAGCTGGGGCCTGGCTTGGGCTGGGTGCAAACTTCGAGATCCTGGAAATTACTAAAGACGTCACGGCGGAACCTGAAACAAAATAACACACACAGACTCGCCAAAAAGAGAGAGAGAGAGAGGCACACCGAAAAAGTCAAGAAGAAAACAAATACCTCCAAATCCCGGCCCTTGTTTTTGAAATTCTTCAGCCGCTGATTATCCAGTTTCTCGTTGTCGGCCATGTTGGGGGAAAAAAAAATATGTATTTGTAATTACTATGATTTGGGCGACGTATCTCTTTCGTGTGTTTCTTTTCTCTCAGCCCCTCCAGTTACCGGACTCTTTTCTCTGGCTTCCTCGCAGGGGGTTGTGGGAATGCCGGTACAGGCCCAGCCTCGCTCTGGCGGCGGCGGAGGAGGGGCGGGCCTTTGTCGTCACGGATTGGTCGGCGAGCGAGGGAAATTTAATTTCAATACGCGTGCTCGGAGACGTGCTCGTCAGCGGTAATTACAATAAAGCGCAATAAATTCCAGCTTGCACTTTGGTTTTCATGGATATAAAAAAAAGGCATACGAGCTACATATAGCTACGTGTTTTATAGGGTACATAAAAATACGAATTAAAATTAGTATTCGAATCGGCCTTTTCCTCAAAGAAACTATGCTGCAATGCACCAGACTGTAACAGGAATAATGTAGTAAAATAGGCTGTTAGTGTTGATGTCATGATATGATACCTTGCATGGTACCTTGTAGCATTTTTAAATGTCATTTAATGCATAAATATTAAGTTTATAATGAAGTGGTATTATTTTACATATATGCTAATTATCCTGTCTCCTGAAATCTATAGAAGATTTTTACAATTTTTAATACTGTTTCTATGAAAGCAGCTCCTTCAGCGGCCGAAAGGGGGGAACTGATTAATATTACTGACAAATATGACTGCTGTTGTGGTTGAACGCTTCACCCTATACAGCAGAGGGCAGCGAGCCAAGACAAATGAACAGTTCCACTGCTCACTCTAAGATTCTAAGAGGGAAAGCGGAAAGGAATAAATTCATAGCAAACTAATATAACGTTTAAAATATAACGTTGTCCAATAGCACTAATAATTCCAAAAACGTCCTTTTGATTAAAACATATAATCGCTTTTCACAACTAAATGTTCCGTTAACCACTGCTGAATCAATACTTTTTTTCATCTTTCTGTGTTTTGTCCTACTACATAGACAATGTCTGTTGAAATATATTACATATATTTCAATGGACATATATATAGATTATATGACACTTCTTTGATATTATTTGTACATTCTTAGGATGGCAGCCCACACTTTAATCATACTCATTATGAATGAATGTATTACTATGAATCGTAAGTATGATGGAGGAAAATAAGCATTGTTTGGCAATATGACGTGTTATAGCTTATTAGCAGTTCTATGATTAGAAACATTTGATTATTATTGATCTTCCTATTGAATATCCTATTGAATATATTGTAACGCAACGGGGGCTCCGGCGGGCGCCCTTGCCGCATCTGGTCGGCCCCATCCCGACTGGAGGCTCGAACCCGGGACTTCCGCGTCTCTCTGCAGCGACCCAGCCCCGTGAGCTAAAGAGAGATCTCTCCACAGCCCAGTAGCTGTGGTCCTGCTATCACAGGGAAGGGCGGTGACGTCACCTGCTCTGGTACGCCTGCTCTTACACACAGTGCTTGTCGGCCGTAAGCGTTACAATAGAAATTCTGTTCAATTTGGTGTTTTGCTGGAACATATCCTGACAGCTCTGTTATTCCCCTTCTGAATTATTAAATTAATTAACCACCAATTAGCAGCATTTGCTTTTGTATCTGTAAATATTTTTATTTAATAAAGCATTCAGCTTTTTGCAATATATATATGAAGCATTTTCCTTCCTGTTAGAGACTTTGAAACGATAATTGTAGTTCACACTTTTGTGTAAAATACTTTTCATGTCCACATCCATTAGTCTATTGCACAGATTCCAAAATACATGTGCGACTGTTTTGATCTGAATGTAGAAGTTGTTATTATATATGCAGTTTCTTATAATTAAAAAAAACAGAATTCTTGTAACAATTTAGAGATGAAAGTGTCCTCTTGTGGCATAAATAGGTCACTGAGGAGGTGCGTCTTAGGTAAAGAGTTGATGTATTTTTATGAATGTGAGGGTACTGTTAAAGTAAAACCTGAGAATTAGGCAAAATATGACCCGGACATCAGTAATATTCATGTCTACTGGAATCAATCTTATTTCAATTTGTTCATCAGTTTCACATTACCTGGAATTAAATCTTGACAAGCTCCAAACGTAAATGACATACAGTATATAATGGTTTCTGTATGACACACGTTTCGAAACGTGTAGAATCGCACCTCAAATATGCTTCAGACTGTTGGATCTCAGAAACACTGCCAGGTTGCTGTGACTGGGGTCCACCGACCACCGAGGCCCATCGCCGACCCCGCTTGGAAACCCGACTACGTGCGCTCGCAGTGACGATGCGCTTTACTTTCTGGCCACTCGGAGCGGGCGCCCGTAATAACGCGTCCAATGAGCATCCCATTCGACACGAATTCGCTGTCAGGGTCTATTACAAGCCTAATCCAGGGATGGAGAGGTGCGTGCCAAGGACCTGTCGACAGGAGGTGTGCATCCTCGCTTGTTCTGCAGTTTGGGAATCAATTCAAAGCTGTCAAATTACAGCTTGTATCCAAAACCTTATTATTCGAGGATGTCCCAGTTTTGAAGGGACAATTAACAATAATAATAGCTCACACTTACATAGCGCTTTTCTGGACACTCCACTCAAAGCGCTTTACAGGTAATGGGGACTCCCCTCCACCACCTCCAATGTGCAGCATCCACCTGGATGATGCGACAGCAGCCATAGTGCGCCAGAGGGGGCTTATTAGGAGGGCATGATTGGTAAGGGCCAATGGGAAATTTGGCCAGGACGCCGGGGCTACACCCCTATTCTTTTCCCAGGAGGTCTCCCATCCAGGACCAGGCTCACACCTGCTTAGCTTCAGTGGGTTGCCAGTTGTGGGTTGCAGGGTGATGTGGCTGCTGACGATGATTTTACAATTCAAGATACGACCAAAAAGTCCAAATTGCTCCGAATTGAGACCACCTATAGTCACACGTCGCCACAGTATACGAGACTGATATGGTTTACGAAGCATACAGCCTAGTTGTAAATTGTACTGTACGTTAAGGCTGCCCTAACCTGTTTCACAAATCCACACCCCGCTGCGGGAACCTCCTTTCACAAGCGCAGAGACTCACCTGTTATTGCGTTACCAAGAATAGGAGGTACATGTACGCCGTCAAGTGTAGGCGAAACCTTACACGAAGAATCAATACGATTATATGACTACATCAGATGCTAATCTAAAAAAACACTTGCATCTCTTTTACTTGACTTGAATTGTTTTAAATTCTTTAACTCTTTCTTTTACGTCAGCTAGAAAGTCAAATACTTCTAAATGAATTTCGCTGAAAACCCCTTTGATACCTTAGAAAATGCAAATTTTTGTAACTGGTGTGAGCGTTTTAGGCTTTTAAATATATTAATTTCTTCATTTAAAAAAATCTACGCGATATTCAAATCGTCTCTTTGGATACCATTGCGGGAGACGAATCGAGAAGATTCCTTCAGCTTTCCAAGATCTTTTTCAGGTTTGCAGATGGTAAGTTAAAAACTGTACTGTAGCTAAGACGTCATTTTCGTTCTGGTCGTTTTGTTTACTTTCTAAATTTATTGGCATTCCCCCTAATCTTCATTACGTTTACTGTACGTGCATACTTTGACCAGGGTAGATGCAATCTTTTTGGGTGGCTGATCCTCTTGGAAAAATCTCATTATTTCTATTTAAAAGCGTCCCGAGCGTTCTGCTTTCTCCCTGCTTTCTTAAAAGGTAAATTTCAAAGATACAGATGTAAAAATATAGAATATAGGCATGGAGAAAACATTTTTTTCACCCACATACGTATCTTTTTTTTAATTGTATAAAAGTTCTGAAAGCCTTTGTATTGTTCAACTATCAAACGAGGGTATTTCCTGTCAAAATTGAATTATCTTGCTTTTACACAAAAGTATAGCCTTCGAGATATGATAACTTATAGTAAAGGCCGAAATCAGAAAGTAATGGTTTAAGTCGGCGTGCCATATCTCTGCATCTTCATTACTGAGATGCATTTATTGCAAAATGTGGAATATCATTTAGCTTGGATTTCCACGTGTAATGTCCCATTGTGTAAAACGATCGGGAGATACACAAGATTACCTTTCTCACTCTATTTAAAACTATGTATTAAAGCAGATTAATAGTTCAGTTTTATTTTGATCGTTTCCAGATTATATATGCACTGAAGATGCGAGCAAACATAAGGTAGAAACTTCATATATTACCATTTATTTTCCATTCATCCAATCGTTTTCTAACCGCCTTATCCAACACAGGGTCGCAGGGGAGCTGGAGCCTATCCCGGCAAGCAGCGGGAGCAAGGCAGAATACACCTCTGGACCTGGACTGGTTCAGCAGTCCGCCGCAGGGCAACATGGATTTTAGCTTAAAAAAAAAAAAACTAACCGAGTCTGAATCAATGCAATGAAACACATGTTTCTTAAAACGTTGTTTCTTGGACTCATTTTTACTATGCTTACGTTGATGTTGTTAATTATAAACCGAAGTCTGGCCTCAAACACCACCTATTCCAGCAACAAGGCTTTAAACCAGGGAATCAACTGGCTGTATTTTTACGAAAGCGAACCAGTCAGAAGGCCCTGTTTACCCTTTCTGCTGCCTAAGATTTCTATGTGTAAACACAAAGTTCCCTTTCTGGTCATTTTCGTTGCGTCCACACCAGGCAGAGTAGAGCACAGAATGGCCATCAGAGCTTCCTGGGGCAGTAAGAGGTATTTGCAGGGGAAATATATTCTAACGTTATTTTTACTGGGTAGAGAAAAGGAGACAGCGGTTAAGCCACGGTTATCACTGGAAGAGGAGCATTTTCTTTTCAGGGATTTGATCATGCAAGACTTTCTGGACACATACGAAAACCTTACATTGAAAACCAGGATGGCCTTCCACTGGATGTATGAATTCTGTCCCCGCGCTCAGTATATTATGAAAACAGACACAGATGTTTTTATTAACGTCATCAACCTGGTTCAGTTTCTTCTGAAGACCAGGTATAGTTCAGGGGGATTGTATACAGGCTTTCCTTTTGTTCACAGCTACCCCTACAGAAGCAGAAGCAGTAAAAACTTTATTTCCCACGAGGAATACCCCTTCGACCAGTACCCTCCGTACTGCAGCGGATTTGGATACGTGATTTCAGGTAAACTGGCTCTAAGAATTTACGAGATGATGTGGCACGTGAAACCTTTCAGAATTGAAGATGTTTACGTGGGTGTTTGCGTACAGTTAGTGGGAGGTGTGCTCTACATTCCACAAGATGATCTTTTCTTACTTTATAAAAAGAGACGTGACAGCAGGATTCTAGGTGTCATAGCAGTGCATGGCGTGGCGCCTGAAGACATGGTCTCCTACTGGAAAATGCTTCAAGAAGCCTCTCAGTGACATACTGTATATGAAATTCATGTGAAAGCTCATGAGGGATGACTGCAGCCAAGGCAACTGGCCTCATTCACAATCATTCCTGACATCATGTCCTCACATTAGAGAAACTCTGAATACTACCTGTAAGCCTCTTGTCTCCTTCGCATTTGTCCTTTGCATCCCTCCTCCACCCCACTTCCTCCTTTGCAGCCTGTCCCTTGGTCACTCTTCACTCTGCAGGAGAGTCCCAGCCTCCTCGTCCTTCGGTCAGGAGGTTGGCCATCAGCCACGTGGGGTTACACATTACATATGAATACACTTCATTCTTGGGTATTCTTTTCCTAGTGAAATGGTCAAATGGCTTTTTTTTTCTTTGGAACAAGTGATAGGTTTATTCCATGCTGAAAAAAAGAAGAAAGAAAACGCAATGTTTCTGCCGTGGAGCCTTCTTCAGGTGTGAACTGGAAGAACCATTTTCATACATCCTTTCGCCATTGTCCTACAGGAAAATCAGTTGTGTTCTTTCACAATTCCTCCTATGGAGATTGAGGGAAACAGCTGTGAGCTTCGGGCTACTTCAATATCAGCACTGCTGAATTAGGGGATAAGAGCCATTGTGCATCAGCAGGTCTGCAGGTGGAAGTCCGATGAGAATACCTCACCAGGCGTTTGTGGAACTACCCTGGGGACGTTTTTGAAGCAGTGGATGAATAAAGGCTGATGATCACAAAGTATGTGTGATATGACAGTCTAGTACTATTTTAAAATTGTATCAAATTGCGAAGGTGATACCGTGGGAGTGATGTATTGGAAGCAGCTGGGGCTCCATCCCTATTCCCTCCTCTCAAACTGAGTTCCGGTCACTTGAAGCTGAAACCTGAAGATCACACTGTGTTCCCATTGACTCTGGAGGGGAAAGGTGCCAGGGGCTGGGAAACGTGAAAGGAGGCTGAACGAGGCCAGAGAGGGGCTGACTAGACCAAGACCCGTTCCTGGTCGGTCCCGAAAGCCGCACGGCTTCTGCAGAAGATGTCACCGAGCGACAACAGGCATCTTCCTCACTGTGGATTCAGGAGGCAGGCCAGCATTCTGCGGCTCTCTCCCTTGCCTGTATCCGAGCCCCAGGAAGGTTGTCTTCTCAGCCCGGCTGTCCTGAGAAGGAATGCTGTCATCTGTGATGGGCAAGGGCCATGCCACTGGCTGGGCTGGGATGCCAGATACATCCAGCAGGACCCTGCCATGTCACTACAGCCTGCACATCTTTGACTGGGAGCCAGGGTGGTGTGTTTAACCTGTTCCATTTTTAGTTTCTCAGCTGACCTGCCACACTGGCCTTGGCCAAGTTATTGGATGGGTGCTTTGGATCTGGGCTGGCAGTTCACTTGAGCTTTATTATCGAGATTCAGCTTTCCGCAATGTGGGCAGTTAACAAGACAGAGAGAAATGGGGGAGATTTAACCCTTTTATCGTAATCTGATTTATTTGCCGAGTTTGGTGATGTTGTCAATGGAACCGGGGAAAAATGTTCAATTATAATACTTGTCCTTCTACAGATGAAATCAGTACAACGTCATATTGATGGATACTTTCCACCTGGAGGAGCATTATTTGAATCAACATCACAGTCTCCATGGAAATCACGACACAACAGATCCTAATGTGATGAAAGGCTTAACGTGACATTTCAATTGTTCTGAGGTTTAGCACTTATCCCGGAGAGAGATGGGCCCTGGAGACGATCCCAGAGAAAAGATCTTAAGAGAAAAAGCACCTGTTGCTAGGACGGGTGGAGTCATTACCTTATTCCCTAAAGTAATGAAGGTTTAGTAGCCAGTTTAGCCGTTTTAAATGAAGACAGTCATGCAGAGGTTGAATCTAGTAATCGGCATGAATATTTTAAAAATATCATAGAATGCATTTTCAGGATAATTTGTCTTTGTGATAGACATTTTAGAGGACATGTTTTAATAACATTAACAAGTTCCGATTGGTTTGATATACACAAAAGGAGTCCACCATTCATCGTAACCAGTTTTAAATAAATTATTTTTTGACCCAAACTTTAAAGGATGTTCCACATCAGATTTACAGAATGTTCATTGAAGTGATTTTCAATTTTTGTTGCAACATTATGTTGTTACATATTAACACCACCTAAATGACTTAAGTTATACTCACCTATTATATATAAACATGTAAGAAATCAATGAAATCATTGTTAAATGGCTTAAATGACTTGCTCATATTTTTGCCAACCAACCACTTCTGTGATTTTTTTTTCTTTTTTTTCTTTGAAACTTAATTAGAAAATAATTCAGTGTTTACTATGTAAATTCCAAGATAACTAGAAGCGCCACCCAAACCTGAGGTTCCAATCTGAGCTCCTCTAAATGTGATTTTTAACCTTTTACTTGAAAAAAGGAGAAAGACCTACAAATTTCATTAATCAAAAATGAGAAGCACAGAAACATACGTAATACTGAAAGTTTTACAGGAAATACAATAATCTGCAACCTGAGGAAAAAAATAGCTTTTCTCTGTGTTTGCAGTGTCTGTCAAAAAGTGTGGAGTGTCATGAAAAAAGCTTTCTATTTCTTTTCCAAGACATAAAGTGGTCTGGTTTCTATCCTCTTTCACCAGGACGTCAGAAACTCATATTTACAACTTTTTTAAGACGCAAAAGCAGTAAGTACCATATCCAATATACAACGGGTAAAGGTTAATTCTATTGCTAAAAAAACAGAAATGGCCATGTTCGATTGTATAGACATCTTCAGGGGTCAGATACAGATGAATAACATCATGTAGCTGCATGTACTCATCTACAGATCATTTCCTTGTGTCAACATAAAAAAGTAGATGCGTATTTTGAAATCAGATTCCACCTTCTGGATGACCTTATCCTGGCTGTCTGGGTCAGATGGTGGCATGCCAACCCTTTTAAAGCTACAGACTATATTGCTCTGTAACGCCTAGGAAACTTTTGAGACAGCATGGGGTTTTCAAGCAGTCCTTTACATGGAAACAAATAATCTAATGATTACATGTTTGCCAGAACACTGATGTGTTTTTTGCAATATAATGGTTTAAGTTTTTCTGTGACCTGATCAGACTGAATCAACACTGGCTCAGTGTTTCCAACAGTTTGTGATCAAAGAGAACATGGCAAATTTTGAGTTTTTATTATTTACTACCAGAAGAGACAGGGCAACTTTGAAATAGTAATTGAGAGCAAAATATATAGTACAAAATTGTTTTCCTGTCACTAATATTAGACTGTTTTGTTACCTTTCATATCTGGTTTATTTCTATCGCTAGTTTAAATTAAGTTAGAAACATTTTAGGAAAAAAAGTTCAAACTGGGAAAGACTTTAAAACCTACAGCAAAGAAAGTGAAAAAGACAGATTAAAATTCAAGAAATCCAAGATACTTGAGTGATGTTTTATTTTTTTTTCTTTTACCTTAAAATCCACAGGTCAAGACTCTTTTTACACTTTCAGAAATTCAACAAACAAAATACAAACTCCACATAAACATTAGGTAACACATACTTATTCTTGGAAGAATATATAACCAAAAATACTAACTAGTAAATCATTACATTTTTTTTTCATCCAGGGTGATTTTTACAGCTGATCTGTGTTAAAGAACTATTTAATTTTAATATGTACATTCACTTTCCATTCCCATATGCTTGTCTCTCAGAGACAAATGTAGAAATGATGGTATTCTACATGAAAAACTATCTACATTAAATGTGCATGTCATTCAAACATAATATGCTACACTACAATCTCAAAACATTTTAATTTTGGCAAAGCAGTTAATAACCGACAAAAGAATAAGGCAGCAGTTAAGAGTGTCACTCAAAGGTAATTTTTTCCTTTTTTCTCTTAATGTCATGAGTTTGTGATTTTTCAATGTGTCAGCAAAATGCAAAATGTTGTAATTTTAACTTTGTTAAAAAGTCTTATGAGTTAAACCAATTAACCAAAAACGTTACAGTGAAATCCAAGTAATACAGATGCAGATTTCTCATCTGATTTGCAGATTTTGTTTTCTGCTAACCTCCCTAATGCTGCAGACGATTTATTCTGGAATAACGCTATTCAGTTTTCAGTTAAAAAAATGAACTGAGCTCAATTAAATTCAGTATTGCAGTAAAGCATCATGTGAAGTACGGTGCTTTAAAAAATCCAACAGCTTAGTTCAAAATTCGTCACATAACATTTCAGTGCATTCTCAGGAAAACAATCATCAGAAACTCTGCCCTTTTGTCACTTTGATTAAATCAACAGAATTCAAGGATCAAATTAAGTCCCGCCACAGCGTGATAAATACTGAATTTAAATAACAGGTTACAGTACGATTTCTTTTTTAAAGGAACTGTAGAATTAGACAAACTAGTAAGTGATCTGATGAGTAACAGGGCAAAACATTAGTAGACAGCCGTATTCTGTTCCATTTCTGTTTCACCCACAGCACAAATACATTAACAGACAGACCCATCGTCAATAAAAACAGTTACAGAAGAACATACTGAAAGGTAATGGATACGGGCAACTCTGAACATGCTGTGGATGAAATACATATAATAAATACAGGATTTGGCAACAACTGATGGCAAGAGAGTAAAATTGTTGCCCTCTGTAGATTGTAACCACTCCCCAGTGTTTTTTAAAAACAGACACACGTGAAGAAACACCCTTTTCAAACTAGGGACATATTTTTTAAATTGAGCATTTGTTTGCTGCTGCAAAGGTACACAGATGCTTTTATTCTGTCTGGTAGCAGCCATTGTTGCTTCAGATTTTGTCTAACCTGTTATTGCTACAGCAAGCGATTCTGTTCCAACTCGGAGTAGGGTATTTCATGTGTGGAATGTGCAGAAATGGGCTTTTTGTAGTCAGAAAATAAAGTTAAAGGAAACATTATTGACTTCTTGAATTTATAAAACCCAGTGGAAATTTGACCCCTAAATCTGTTGTAGGTATTATTGCTAAGCTTACTCCAATGAAAAAAAAAAAGAGATTTTGGTACTGTGCCTAACACATATGAAATAATCATTTCAGAGGTTCTCAGAATATTGGAAATCCTGACTGTGATTTTCCAAAAGCACGGTAACAGTATTACTGCAACCAATATTAATTCCACAACCTAGGTTTATGTGTGAATTAACTGCAATGATAATTAACCGAAGCTGACTGTGTATTATAATAAAGTTGCTGCAATAAGTCATCGGGCCCCACAGTTCAGGGACAACAGGGATTGTAATCATTTGGTTGATGAATACAGGACAACGAGTACTGATAGATAAAGAGACAGAACTGTCCTGGAAAAAATGGCCTTCAATTTACCTCTAGCTGCTGCACTCTGGAGGACCTGCTCCTATATACAGTAGTACATGAGTACCTGCCTGCACTGGTGTAACAGCAGGGTGTAAACTGGAAACCCAGCCCAGGGTGCAGACCGTCATTTATATGACCCGTCACAGTTAAACTCATGATTGATTGAAGAGGGGGGCAAAGGTGAAAGAAGTTATTGCCTAGTCTTCCAAACTCATGCATAGCGAAGGAACAGCTTTAGGGCACCTGAGCCAAAATGCCCCAGAAACAATGGAAAAAACAAGTTTTTTTTTCTTTTTTCAACTGTTACTGGAGATTTTATAGGGGGTGGGGTATGGGGGGTGTTTTCATCAGTTAATCAATAAGTACCGTGCTGAGCTTCGACACCGTTTCAGTTACTATATGTACTGTAATACCATGACAATGCTTAATGCAAAAAAGCCTTAAGGGTGTTTTTGTTTTTTTTAAAAAAAAAAGGCCATGGCCATAAAAACTGGGTCCCTGGACGTACTTGTAACAGGCTCACGCAACTGGGGGTTAATGCCAGAAACAGAGTTCGTGCCCCGAGAGCTCGGCAAAAGGGCCTACTCACTGCTCCCCCGCTTTGCCACTGTTTTTGAACTTCACCACCATGACAGTTATGTTGTCAGGGCAGCCCCGGTAGAAGGACTGCAGCACGATGCTCTTTGCGCCGAAGTGGGGCTCGTCCAGCCGCTCCTTGATGAAGCGCACGGCCTCCTCGTTGCTGAACGCGTCCCACAGCCCGTCGGAGGCCAGGATCATGAACTCGGGCTGCAGCTTGTCCAGGTCGAAGGCCAAAATATCCGGGTCAGGAATGATGACGTTCAGGTTCTTGAGAGGGTAGTCGCCCAGGGAGCGGGACATAGCCAGAATGCCCTGGACTCGCCAGGAGCCGTTGAAGCTGATGAATCCACCTGGGAAGGGAGACAGAATCACCCATGAGGTTACAGAGGCCACTGCAAGCCCAAGAAGAGCACATTAGATGAGCGGCGGGGTCAAGATCAAATGCTATTCTGTGCTTCAACAAAGCGGAGAGTTCAACCGCGACAAAGAGAAAATCCCCTGCCATTCTTAAGACGGCTATCCCGGCTTGAAACATTAAGTGAACACAAGCGCAAACAGGCTGGAAACAGAAAGCGTGTTCCTATCTCTTCACAATGCAAACAAGCAGTGAGGACCTGTGAAAACACGAACTGCTGCGTTTTTACAGCTTAATATGGGCAGGTGCGCAAGAATGGCGAGGAAGAGAGGTGTCCTGACACAAGTAAGTGCGTTGAGAGGGGGGGCCAGCAGATGGCGCTCTTTGGTAATGTTTTTAACTTGAACACCTGACTGGTGAATACAGTTATTATTTCAGTGTACAGCTCATTACGCTACAGCTAAGCACACAATCGGCTGCTTGAAATAAAATGAGAGAAACCTGCGTCGGTAACTCTCACCGCCTCTAATCAGGCTGTGGGCTTTGCCAAACTGCCATTTTTCAACATCTGCCTGTAGCAGTGCCGAGTCGAGAAGTCATCAAGTTCCATGTCCCAGGTGTTTAGTGGGCAAAGCGCTGATGAAGTAAGACAATATTTCATCCTGGTGATGCCCTTGGAAAGGGAACAGCTTCATCGCCACTCTTACGAGTTCTGCACTGTTCTGGCAAAAATCAATTCTAGGAGGGTGAAGGCCAAGCGACAGAGGCAGCAGGATCCCATCTTTTCTGAGCTGAGCTCCAGGACAGCTATACATCAAATAATTCTCCTTGCTATCGCTTTTGCGCTTGCGCTCCACACCGGCAGCGGCGCCCTATACCTGCTCGTTTGATTCTCTTCCGCTCCTTCAGCTGGTAGGGCTTGTGGTCGTGCGAGAGGGCGACGGCGTTCCCGTCTTTGTCGCAGAGCACCCCGCGGGAATCCCCCACATTCGCCACGGTCAGCTCCTTGTCCGACAGCAGCGCGATCAAGCACGTCGTGCCTGAAACGGCGAAGAGGGAGCCGGGTGCCGTTAACAACTCCAGGTCTGGCCTGTGCGATACACCTCGTTATGATCTCCACCACAGGCTACGGTGTGTGAGGGTGTGTATTCTTAAAGAACATGCCAGCTCTAGCTAAGTACTGGATTCCAAAAAAAGATTTAGGTATTCAATACAAGATCTTGTTACTGGCTTTAAATATTCTGGCTCCATCACACATCTCTGAAATCTACAGTCCCTCCCGCAGGAGGCTGGTCCTCTAATCACTATTCCTAGGACTAAACCTCATACCTCTGGTGATCGTGCCTTATCTCTCACTGCTCCTCTGTTATGGAAAGCCCTTTCTCCAGCTCTTACGAGACACAAGTACTTTGGACTCTCTTCATATCCAAGTGTAAAAATTACCTCTTTACTGGGGCCTATGTCTGACTGCCCTACATACTATCCTGTATATATTTTTTAAAATTTTATTGTACTTTTTGGGTATTACTATGAACTGTGTTCTTGGGTTTGGATAGGCACTTTATAAATAAAAGTTTATTATATCATCAATTTTATTACTGAGGCCTGTTTCTGTTTAAGACCATGACTGAGAAACTGAAAAAACTGGTTTTATTATTCGCCATACACGACCCCCCTCAAAAACCAAATCCCAAATCCCCAAAACCTCTCCCTCAGACAGCACAGAGCAGACCTCGCCCCACCTTAATTTGTCTTAAAAACAGCCTTTTGAGCAATGCTGCTACTGAAACAATAACTCAACTGTGGCATGAAATCTTTTAAAGGTCACCTTTTCTTTACTTATCAGCACTGAAAACCGATAGAGTGACCTGATCCTAATACACTGCAGGGAGCACAGGGACCTGGCACACCGCCCCTCCACCGCCAGCCACACCCCCCCTAGGCTCTCCCAGATCTGGCCATGCTTCAGAATGAAACACACCCTGTTTTATGAGTGTGAGAAGAAAGGGAGTAACAAAAGAACAGAAAGAATTACACAAAAGAAACAGGGAAGCTTAATTAATGTCGTGGACGTGGCCTTCTGGCAGAGTGATAATTTTGTATTTAACAGCTTTACAAATGTCAGAAAGAAACCTTCCGTTTCTTAAATGGATTCAAGAAGGGGGACCAGGCACGTGATTGCTGTGGCTCTGGGCAGTATACTCCAGCAAAGTAGTATTTAATTGATTATGAGAATAATCCTGGTGCCAAGATGCATCTGGACAGCATAACCCAACAGCACAAAATACCTTTGTTTTTTATGGTAAGAGTTCAGGAGGTACTGTGTCACAGTGTTCTGGCAAACTGGCAAGACCTCACTAATCTACTTATGTAAATACTACGAATGCTGTTGAATGGTTAAACTAGGACAGGCCTTGAGGTTTTTATGTTCTTTTAATATAAAACCAAGGAGATGTACAGTACACATCATTGAGATGAGCTGTTTCATAATCCTGTTACCGTTCAGTTTGCACTGTGCAGTATATATACAGAGGAGAAATCCTGCTCCCAAATATATTAGTTCTGAAAATTATATGGCTGGTTAACTAGTTCATCATGAGTTATTGTTTGTCAAGTTGAATTTTTTGCAGCAATAACACCAGAAAAATGTCACTGGGTTCTAACTTTAACAAGAAATAAATGTTGTGGTAAAGTGTTTTTTGTTTCCTAAAAAGGACAGTCGTAACTTCCAGAGTTGCCTAAAGTATATTTGCAAATTATTTAAAATGAGAGAAAACAATCACAGTGTGCACAGAAGAGGATTATTTTTCAGGGTTAGGGAAAACATAATTAAAATGATGGAAAAAGAAAAGACATACAATCTGAAAAAGCAGAAAATGACATTTTTAGATCTACACTTAACCCACAAAATAACAGCTTAAGGAAAAACCTCTCTCTTATTTTAGGCTGCCTACTGCACTTAATTCACCCCGAGTTTTTATTTTTTATTTTTCTCCCTGCCTGTCACCTTCTTCCACTGTGGGCCAGTTAATTATCTTTATTTTCTCCACTGACCATGATAACAGGCAAAAATGCATTCTAACAAGAAAAAAAGAGGTTTTGACAGACATGCAGTACAGAGAAAAAAAATTATCTCCACATAATATTTGAGTTAACAGCTAGTGTTATCAGGAAATACAGACTGAATTTGTGTTGACCGCTTGGGAGTCCTCTGAAAGATTTCAGCACTCAATTTCGAATTGGGCTGCTCTTTCAGTGTTTTCAGCACCAGATAACTTGCATAATTGCATGCTGCATTCTGGAATTTTTATATGCTTTCGGTATGGAGTTGGACTTTAAAATTGACTTTAAAAAAATCACCCATAAGAATATGAGTTATTTAAGTCATATCAGAAAATTAAAACTGCCACAAAAAAATCAATGGCAACAGCAGGAAGCTTTGCTATCAAAACTTGAAAACAGGAGGCGAGACTCTTCCAAAAAGTTCAAGAAGTTTTCACTCACCATTTTCCAAAACATGGTTTGCATTAACCTGAATTAATTTTAACATGATTAAATACGGGACCTAAATCCATCCTGGCCAGTTTAAGACACCAGATTTTGGGAAAAGAAAAATGTATTTGAGGTATTAAGCAAGCATGATTCATTCTTAAAAATCAAATGTTCCTCACTTTGAGAATAAAAAGAACCAATCTGAAATATAAAAACAACTTATTTTGAGAGGCAAACAAAACAGCGTACCGTACTGTTGACCTTTGTGTTGTTATTCACCAGACCTTGCCTGGAGTACTGCTATGATGTTGTTTATCAGAAGGTCTTGCTTCAAACTGATTTTACCAACATGAACTCATGTTAAGTGCTTTAGTGACCTGCATGACTTACATTCTGAGTCTTACTTTCCTGCAATAAATCGAGCATTCATTTAAGAAATGAAAAATACAGAATTTAGTTTTTAAATAAACATAACAAAACATTAACACATTAACACATTACAAAAGGAAATGTCTTCCGTATAAAAAATACAGTTTTTTATACATACTCTAAGTATTACTGTTCACTGTCATAAAAACTGTAGCTGGAGGGACTTGAATCCTCTATTTCAGGTTTATTGCGACTTCCAGCTAATGTGCATACTAAACATTTGTCAATAGTTAAAAGATGTTAGCTTCAAAACTCTATGTTCACCCGTCAAAGTGGGATTATGGTCAATCATAACAGGCTTTCGTTTTTGATTGAAACAATCAAACAATACTGACAAATATAAATTCTGTGTGTCACCCTTCTAATATAAGTCAGTACAAATGGAATAGACAGTATATTAATTGTCAGACGCTCCATGAAAAGAGAGATCTCTCCTCAAGTGCAAGGCCACAGAGAAGGCTCCAGTGCTGCCTTGTCATTTTGTGATGCCCTCCCAGAGGGCATTTTCATGGACTGTCAAAGATCTACTCTGACAAAATGTCTCGGAATGAAAACAAGGCCAAAACAGGAAATGGAAGCGGCATCTCCTCACGAAAAGCTTTCCTGGTGGCTGGTAATTCTGCAGTCCTGGAAGGCTTAATTAAGGAACTCATCTCAAAAACGAAAAATTAAAAGGCGGCAGTAAAAGGCTCTCTCCTCCGGCTTTTCCACAGTGAAATCTAGAGCCTAGAGCATACATCTGGCCCATGGCCCTGGGGGAGACCGTATCTCTCCTGACAAATTGTTTTTAGTTTAACTGTGAACTGTGTAGTCTCTCGACTGTTCCAGACAAGGTAAGGCAGGTATGTGCTTAAGACTTACATCAAATGCACAATAATTGATTCCTGGAGGTGGCCGTCTATGCCTATTACAGCTTATAACGTTTAATGCCATTTCAATTTGAAATGTGTAAAAACAAAGCAGGCAAGTAAGTTGTCAGATATCCATTATCCACAATGACAAAAGAGACGCCAGGGGCACATCGAAACCCAAAGTACAGAGCACTGCTTGAGCTGAGGGACAGTGTGTACTGTATACAGCATATGGCAACATTAGCTTCAATGTGATTTGGGACATCTAATGAATATAAATGGATGGTGAATGGCCATTTATTCAACTATGAAAGCTTGCATCTGAAAGGTTTTTAAAAATCTTCTTAAATAAAATTGGAAGGGAGATTACGATATTCTAATAAAAAACCTAACTAAACATCCTCTTAGTACGATATGATGTTTTCTTTTTTTCTGAAGAAGATCGGCAAAAACGAATAAAAATCCCCAACAAACCTACAACACAACCTTAAAACTAAACAATCTTTTTAAAAACTGTATAGGAAGGAGACAAAAGCTTCCCAACACTAATGGTGACACAAGCTCCACTTCTTGGAGAAATGATAATATTCTGAAGACATATGACATAGGGGGCGCTGCGGTGGCTCTGTGGCTCAGGATCTGCGCCTGTGGCTGGAAGGTTGCCGGTTCAAATTCCGTGGCTGGCAGAGGAATCCTACTCTGTTGGGCCCCTGAGCAAGGCCCTTAACCCCAACTGCTCCAGGGGCACCGTATAAATGGCTGAGCCTGCTCTGAGCCCAAGATTCTCTCCCTGTCCGTGTCTGTGTGTCTCATGGAGAGCAAGTTGGGGTTTGCGAAAAGACACATTTCTAATACAAGAAATTGTATATGGCCAATAAAGTGTTCTTAACATGCAGGAAAAGAAGAAAAGCATTCAGAAGATTCTCTCCAGTTGCTCCCTTCAAGCCTGTGCTGTTGTGTACTTCCACTTACTGAGTAATGTTATAGCTGTGCTCTGCAATAACCTAGTTTGCAAGGAGTCCCGTTTTGTTTTAAGATGGTGTTGCTCTCTGGATGTATACCTAGATCTCCTGACTACATTCATGCAGAATTCGCCCTTGAACATGTAATGTATTTTTTACTTTCATGGTCCGTTGAGCACAGAAACACAAACTGAAGTCCGCCCAGCAACCAATCTACAAACCTGACCTGTGGTCGTAATTTGCAGTGACTGCAGAGATGTTATCCTACTTGCAAAGTAAGAGCTTCAGCAAAGGATGCAGGAGGGAAAGAAGTGAAATACTGTGGATTGTTGCTTCCTAAAGTCCTTTTACTACAAGAAGCTCACAGCTCCAAATAAAATATTAATCCGTCTGAGGAACAGGCCCAAAATCAAACCGCTATGACTAATTGGATACAATGTGACTCAAGCTTAGTTAATGCTCATTATTTTCCAGTCATCTGTGCTGCCATTGATGTACATACTACTAGTAATTAGTAGAGCATCATAGGGATCAGAATTAGGACAACTGTTCTTGCTAATTTACATTAATAATCTAGATTCCGGTTATGGTTCGTAAACAAGTCAAACTTTAGTATCAAGATGATACTAAAATAGGAGAACTAGCCAGCCTTGCAGAAGCTATAGAAAATTCAAGCAGGCAGCTGAGTCAGCACGCGTAGGCTGCAAAGGAACAAGTAAAGATTGATTCCACGCTAAAAAGAGACACAATGAAGAAGGCTCCACATCCGAAATGTTGTGTTTCTTTCCTTCTCTTTTCAGCGTGGAAGAAACAGAAAATTAAACACACATGGATAAAACTCAAGACTGGAGAAAAACCTGGCAGCTGGCGAGTGCAGTACGTTCCACATTCCTACAAACAGCAGAAATGGAAACTAACTATAAAATGGGAAACACTGAGCCTGAAGAAATTACCATTGGAAAAGGCTTAGGTGTTTACTTGACCATTCACAAAGGTTTGTGGGGGCCTGGAACAAGTGACCCAGTCACACTGGTGAAGACAATACCTTGGCTAGGTTCAAGAAATGGTAGGAATGAGATCATCAGATCATTTATTATCAGCCAAATTAACTTCCTCTTATTTGTTTATTCTCTTATGCTCTCAATGCTTTAAAAGCCGCGGGACTTCAAATTTACACTGCAGTTCAGATTTAATTTTGGAAAGCAATATGTTAAAGAAAAAAACATCAGTGCACAACGTGATGATTAGACTTTTAGACAAAGAAATGATGTGGGATGTAATTCAAAACACAAAAACTGCCCGTAGTGTACATAAGATTTTGTAGAAATATACTGAAGTGAGCAACTAAATGAAGCATTTAATTTTTGGGAAGACTTGTTTTTTAATAATCCATATGCTCCAGTCAGAAAGAGTTATTTTTTTCTCTTTGCATGATTGATATGCATACTAATACTCACAAAAGCTGATCAGTTACTAATTCAATTGAAATTAATTTGAAAAAATCTAAGCATGGAAATAAATAAATTACATTAAGCTGCTCATAACCAGCTTTTATGCGATTTACATGATTAGAATAAGAAGCAGTAAGTAGGTTTTAAAATGCATTCCATACCCGAATGAATGTTGTCTTTATTATCTTATGAATATTTCACACCCGTTTTTGGTTTTTCTGATGGGGATTCAATTAATAAAACGTAGCCATGTCACTATTTCTCCATTGACATGGAGAAATAGTGACATTTCGCCTTCAAAAATAGAAGTGATGTGCAAATAAAGATGTCACTTTGATTTTCCTGTCGTCTGAGTTAATTGTTTTAAGTATCTTTGATTAAACAAAAATGCGTCGGGTAAAAAGAACGTATAACACTCTATTGACAATCGCAATCGGTCTCAATTGCTCCAAATGTATTGGTGCTCCAAAACGAAAATTGCACTGAGGGACCATACGAACCACAATGATGAATCCTCACATCTATAGAGCACTTTTTATCCCGAAGCATCTCAAAGCGTTCCACATGTAGGAGAAGAACCCCTTCACCTAGCCTTGGAGATCAGCTCCCACATGCCTGATACCCACAGCCACTCTGCACCAGCAGCTCTGCTACACAGCGGATCAGGATGGCAAGTGAGAAATTGCTTCGCCAGTTGAACTAAGGACTGATTTTGCCAGCCCAGAGTGGACTTTACAAAGGGATTACCGCCTTTCTTTTGAAGTGTCTCATCTTCTTTCATGACCAAGAAGTCAGGACCTCGGTTTAACGTCTCATCTGAAGGATGACTCCTCCTGCAGCCCAGTGTGACTGGTGAGCATGCTAGTGAGTTGTTTTGGACTTTGGATTCTGGGCAAGAGGGAAGAGTGCCACCTACTGGTGCCTCAATGTCTTTTCAAGGTCACCCATCACAGTACTTACCAGGCCCAGTCTCGTTAAGCTTCGATAATCTGAGATCAGGCCACAAAGTGGTATTACTGATAACAAAATCTGGCAATCTTTGTAGCATATACCTCGAGAGGATCATGCACTAATAGACACAGCATATACTAGTTAAAACTGAAAACTCTCTGATGCTACTGTGCACTCATTTAATAGGCAAACGGTTTTCATTCAAAATCTTGTGATTTTAGTTGTCATCACTGCTATGCGGTGCGATATTTTACAGCACTCTGATTTTTGGAATACAGAAAAAATAAAAGGTGAGCATTTCTTGACAAATACTATTTAATATGCACAGTTTAATTAATGCATAATTCATTACCGAGATGCTAAAATATGATTAAATAACACCATTATCTTTGAACAAGATGAGTTTTAAACGAACACCTAACTCTTCGTGTCAGCAGTCCTGGGTAATCAGTGCCTAAAAGATCAGTCTGTTGCTTAGGCACAGATGAGAAGCTGAGACTGTACAGTACCAGCCAACATTTTATTTGAAACAAATATCTGTTGCTTATTATTTAAAACTAAAAAAACAAAAAGTATTTAAAAAAAGATCACAGTAATGCCTCTCCGGCATTGAAGGATACCTTCAAGAATGTTTGATGACATTTCCAAGGATTAATACAGTATCTTTGAAGTCACAGAACCATCTGCCTTTAAAAGATGCTTTTGACACTGCAGGTAGAAAGCGTTTGACTGTCTGACAAAAGCTCTTTGATGCTGCATCTGTGAGCAGCAGTTATTTGTACGAAAACCCCTTATATTGTCACAGCAGGGTCCCAGCCTAACGTAGCCTTGTTTTTTTCTGAAATGCAATAAATCACATGGCAAAGAACACTTATTTGCACTGACTTCCTGGTTTTAAAATATCATGGTTCAATGACATTAATATTAAAAACAGAACCGTGCTTTTGTTTACTGGGTGAAGTTTCTACACCATTGCAATGCACAGCACAGATTTATATTAGTAGTAGTTTTATTAGTTTTATTATTAGTAGTTTTTAGGTTGTGCTGTAGTGGTAGTAAGGAAAGAAATAAAAGTTTTGCCAATGTTATCAATTTCCTTATGTTATTGTTTTTGACCCCCTTCAAAATAGAACGTTCTGAGGGAACAAAATTTACAGTGGAACATTTTAAACCTCCAAAACACACAGAAAATGTTTTTGGATTGGGTTGCCAACAAACAAAAAGCAGACAGAAGAATGGAAAGATTATGAAGAAAAATAACTTTCAATCAGTAACAGCTGCAGGTTGAGAACATCTGTGGAAGAAATCAAGTGTCGAAATACCATGCTAATCTTTACTCACTCGGCCTTCAGAATTTTACCCTTAACTTCACAAACTACACATTTAAAGCACAGAGAATAATGCCGTCTTACCTGCTTCATCATATGAGGCAGACAGTTTCTCCAGCATTTCCTTGTCAATAGAGAGGATATGTTGTTCCAGAATACTGGGGTAAGAAAGCACACTGTTCTCTTTCTCTTTTTCATAGTTCAGCAGGTGTTGTTTCAGAAGTTCAGGGAGGTGTGTCTTTGCATATTCAGCAGCAGACTACGAAAAGAAAAACAATTGATGATGCATTAGTACAATCCATCAACAACAAATAAGTGAACTAAACCGTGCCCACAAAGTCACCTTGGAAAACTGCAATCCTAACATTTCAATCGTAAGCAGTATTCTATTTTCAAAGTAGCCAGAATTAATGATTAGTTTGTTGTAGTACAACATATTCCTCTCAACATTCCAATGATGACAGAATTGCCGTTCCAAAATAATTAAAAAGGAAAATGCACAGATCTGATCTAAAGCTATTTGCATCCAGTTTAAAAATAACTAGTCTATATTAGAGAACCATGACTGTAAAATAACGCAGTCAATTAAAGCTGCACAAGTATCTATAAACCATATGCATTAGATCCAGCATGAGGAGCTAGCCAAATTATTTACATTTGTTTTGTTAGAGAAACAACACTGCTATGGAATGTTATTCCTAATGTTACTTTTTATTAAAAAAAAATGGACACCAAACACCTAAACAAAGAAAAAGGAAAGCATATTTATAGAACTCATATGAAGGGTGATTATAATGTGCATGAAAGAAAAAAAAACTAAATTCAGCTACTCACTACAACCTCCTGTAAACTGTAGGACAGCAGATATTATTGTTCTGATAAGTCTTAAGGCAAATTATTTGGAAGGATTTTAACAAGACAAACTTACTACTAGAAGCTTATTCTACATCTCAATTCTTGCCAAGTATTACCATGATAATTAGAATCCGAGACTTGGACATGATTATTTTGTGTCAAAGTGTCCTGTTGCAAAAATCCTATTTGAAGGTGCAGTATACTCCTTTACAGAGGACGTTAAAATTCATTCGGTCAGCATTGCAATATAATAATAGCTCCACAGGTGTTAAAGTAAGAGTTTATTGAATAAAACAAATAATCAAGGTCTAATTTCTTAAGGTTTTTAAGAAGCATTTTTGTCGTTCATTTTTTAATTTCATGTAAGTAGGAATTACAATATTTTCCTTCTACTATATTTGGGGATTGGAGTGGCTTTGATTTCAGAGGAGGCACAGAAAACTGAATTGCCTGCAAGTCTGTAAACAGGAAATCTGAAAGACCTCCACACTTTATTGTATGCTAGAACAGCTGCCATCCGGAGTTAAGCTACAGCCAAACCATTCCGATAATGCCAGCTCTAAAACACAGTCTTCACCCGGAGCCAAAGCATGCCAGGTGGCAAAACAGAGATTACTGCTGCAGATGCATGGACATACGCTCAGGAAGACTTGACCTCAGGTGCTTATTAGTCTTTATATCTATGGCACAAGCAGTGAATGTGCAAAACCCTGCATCAGAGAAGACAGACAAACCACAAAATATGATTGGAATCCACAAACCACACATTTGCACAGCCAAGCCATCTGCACTGTCCTGCTTTTGTTGGAAGGAATAAATAAATGAAAAGAAGAACAAATCTGCATAATTTTCTTGTACCAATCAATCAGGCTCCGTAGTGTTAATATTATATATGGATGGTGCTTTTTGGACAAAAGCTTGCACAGATAAACACAAGCATCTGGTACTGGAAGAGCTTTGTTACTTGCTGAGAAGAACACGATTTCACATTAATTACGTTTGCACTGGACAATCCACAGAGGGCTGTCAAGTCTGTGAGGGAAAGGAGAAAAATCACTCCTAAACAAAAACATGCAAGCTGGATGGAACATCTCAGATCTCAAGTGTTCTGGTCTTCATCGAGACAAAGCAGTTGTCAGCCATGGGCAGCAAATCTAAAAAATGTTCACTACTTTTTCAAGGTGAATATATAGATATAAAAATGATGCAACTGAAGTGTGTTGGGAGAAAAAAAAATGCAGCTGTCTCGCTGTTTTCCTTGGCCTGCACCTGCAGGTACTTAAGAGCAATGCCTTCTGTAATAATACAAAGATAAGGGAAAACTGTTTGTAGTCCAATCTAATGCTACCAAGGACTCCCAGATGGCAACCAGTTTTGTTTTAATTATCTTTTTTTAGTTTTTAATCTCTTCAACAAAGAAACTCTAACTGTGTGATGGAGACCCAGAGTGCTTCTTATCTTTCTTGGCTTTGTCTCTTAAAACGGGTGTTTAACTTCAAGGTCTTGCTCCTCCGATATAAGGCTTCTGGTAATGACCTTGGTCTGCCACATGTAGCTCATGTTTTCTTTCTCTCGTGTTCCCATACCAAATACTTTTTTTTACGATCAAGGGTTGTTACTGGAATGTGCAGCCAAGCTACACAACCCTGAGAACTGCTGGACTTCGGGTTTAAAATTCTTTTTCGGAATGTGCCAGGTTTCTGGAAAAGGTGTCCCTTGCATACAAAAGATCATCCTTTAACTCGAAAGAAACTCTCTTCCAACAGCTTTCATTCCAGTAAAGTAATTTTTCCCCAAAAAAACTCTTCCAGTTTGCTGATGCTTCAATCTTTCAGTATTATGAGTGCACAAACAGCTAAATATACATGTACAAATGCACAGTATACATCAGTTTCCTTCACATGTGCTTTATTACAAAGCTGCTATAAAAACTGAAAGTAACCTTTTCTATTATTTCATCCTTTCCTTTAGGCAGCTGAGCAACGTTAAAAACTGTGACGATGGCCCTCGGATTTAATGTGCATTTTGCTCAGAATGAAGAACCATATCATATACATTTTCTCTTTTAACCAGATTACTCAGACAACACCAAAAGTTGCCTTTTCTAACTGCATGGTGATTTCGGCTGACTTTTCCAAAAGGGGAAGCAGATCCCTAAATCAAATAATCCCGGCTGAAAAGGAAGATAACGAGAGCTATAGGATGATCAGTATGGACATCTGGGTTTAACACCACCAGTGCCCGCTGAATTCCACCTTTAATGAGATTGCACTAATCAGATCAGAAAGGAGTAGCAAAAGAAAAAAGCAGCTAAGCTGCGTCTCTTATGGGGCTATGGCTCACAATGTGAAATGTCATACCACCTGCCAGGGCTGAAAAAGTGCATTTTTTCTGCAAGGCTTGTCACATCAAAAATAAAATCCTAACCAAGAAACAGAGATTTGTATAATTGTGACTAAGAAGCGCATCATACAAAGGAACAAAGGCAATGCTTTTGCCTACAACAAAGCAAGAGCTGTTCATGTCCTTGTTGCAGTTCTGTCAGCATGGACAAGCAGCAGAAGAGACACTTCATGCATTTTGCAGAGAATATAAAGTGTTCTATGTTATGCAAATTAAAAACCTGCACATACTGTGACCTTCTAGTAGTTCTGAGATGTGACACGTGTTCAATGTAAAAGCGGAGCTGTATACAGTATTGTTTGGCTCTGAACTGGTAGGCTTACATCCTTGATTCATCAATGGATAATTTTCACTGAGTGTCAAGACAGGCAGCCCTGGGTAGCAGGCAGACAGGCAGCCCTGGGTAGCAGTACTGGCACTGGAGCAAAATTCAATTAGGGTGATCACTTTAATTAAGCAAATCATTCGTGAATAAAAGAGGCAAGTTAATTATCTCCCCATGTCACTTTGCCTGTTAACTAAACCCTTATGTACCAAAACCTGTGGTGGTTTTTACAAGCAGGGCTGGAAAACAAACAACTGCAGAGAAACACTGATTCACATCTGTTGTGCCTTGGAAGTCTTTCCTCACAAGAAAATCGATCTGGACTGAAAGAACATTCTTTAAAAAAAATGCTAGCTAACTCAAGTCAACTGACTTTGGCTCCTTAGGTTTAATCTCCTAATCTTTGCGTTTTTATTTTGTTATTTGTTATAATGAATGAAGTGGCATTTTGTTTTTAAATCCAAGTTAATTTAAATGGAAAAGATGCCTATGTTGAGCAACCAGTACAAAAGGATGGATTTTCTAGACTCTGTTTTGAAACACATCTTTAATATGTCCTCAATCAAAGCAGAGGAACCTTCTTCTTGGTCAAGATTAGATTCACTATCTCTGATTAGATTACCTAGATCCCCTACATCTCTGAATATGGCCATTCCACATTCTATAAACGCTGGGTCACTGCCTTCTCACACACAAACTTCCAGACTGCAATATTCAACATAACTTACTCTTTCCATTGGGAAATTTTCATCTCTGAAATAGGAAGCTGCTAGTCTATGGTTTGTATGGTAAATGAACAAAATGACCTTCTGAGACAAGCAATTTACATTCATGCTGGCATGCCTTTGAACGTAATTATAGCTGTCAAAAAAAAGATGGAGCTGCAATGAATCCCCAAAAGTCAAATTAAAAAAAAACAAACATGTTGGATTTAAATTTCTCACTTTGTTGTTGCCAGTCTTCTCTGCTGGGTCTGACCGGAACAGTTCTGTCTCAAAGCCTGAGCAAAGCCTCAGTTTCACTCTGAATCACTTAAAACCGTTGCTTTCAGCTTGGAAAGACATGGGCACAGTTGCCCCTCCCAATTAAAATTTCTATTCTAATTAAAAATGCGACCACATGTGACTGGCATAATATAATGATGTAAACATTCATCTTACAGACCTAAGATGTATTGTGCTTTACCACTGAAAGCCACTTCTGGCTTGTTATTTTCCTCCTTAGCTAGATATAAGTGTCTTCTTCCTTAGTTACGCTGCAAAGTGCTGCTGTTGTAGGGGTTGTTGAACTTTATAACTAACCTTTACTAAAGAGTACAGAACAGTGCATCTTGTACACGTGTAGCTTTTCTGTTTTTACCCCGTACAGAGCTCAAGGGAACACAAAAACAATGGATCACAGAGCTTTTATGCTGTACAGCCTCAGAAATACGCAAATTACTTTAGAAATAAGCAAATTACCTCTATAGACCTTTCTCCAAGTTAATAAAAAAGAACCCTTTTCCACATAGTAATGCTTGTTGTTCTGCAGAGGGAAACTGCATTCAGTCTTTCATCTTACACACAGCAGTCTCTAATGGCCCAGAAACCAAGATTAATGATTACTTTTTGCACAATGCAATCGTGCTGGTTTTGTTTGGTTAAGTACCACAGTGCCAGTCTACTCCAGTCTGTGGC